TCTGAGCAAGACCTCAGCCTCAAATGATGTAATGACCACTTTCAAGACCATGACCCATGTTTACATAGATAAAAACTTCTCAGAATTATTACTTCATCTCACCTAGTAATGACAGTGTTCTCTATGTCTGTATAGTGTGCCTGTGCTTCCTCAATTTAAGAGTTACATGACTTCTGAAGGGAAGCAATAAGCAGAGACATGTATCAGATTTGAACAGAGCTGGCAACTGCTTATAGAAGGAAAGAAATCTCAAACCTTCCTGTAAACAGCTGGAACCCTGCTGTCCTTACAGGGGAGAAAACTTCTAGCTAAACAGAAAATTGTTCTGGCTCTTTGACAGATAACCAATTCTATAAACTTACTGTTGTTAATCATAAAAAGGCAGCATTCCTTAAAAACAAACATAAAAAGGCTGTTCCGGATGGACTGCATTTGTATGGGACAGTTGCCACTGTATTAGTGCATCAGCAGCAACTGCAGTGTAACTGAAGAAACATGTGGACCCATAATTAGCAACTGTATCTTCCCCTGAACCTCCAGCAGCACCTCCTGGAACTGCTGTATTCTAGGATGTAAGGGCAAGGTTGCAGGGTGGGCAGTAGCAGGACTGAGAAATGCTGACCATAACTGAGACAAGGCATGGCAAACAGCTGCCAGCAGACATGGCAGGCTGAAGTAGGAAGAACAAAATACTCCTGCACACACACGACTTTGCAAACAGATGCTGATTCATGCCATGTTAGGGAATAATTCATCTACAGGATATTTTTAGTGTAATGTTACTTCAGCTTCTTACATGTTAACATTGAATAAATCCTCAACAGTGAATGTGTTGCCATTTAGATATCTGGGGTGTTTCCTAGGTTTGGGAGGAGGTTGTTTTGTTGGGGTTTTTCACTCTGCTTGGAGTTCCAAAGTTTTACAGTATTTGTATCCAGTTAGTGCTGTACTTACAATTCAGAACTAAGATTCCTTAACATTTTTATCACAGAGGAAAAACTTACAGGAACTTACCAGTCACATGCTGACAGAAACAATTAACAGGTACGAGGTGGGACTGCAGTGTGTAGTTAAAAACATTTTAAATCTCTCATATACTATTCTAGTACATAACATCACTCATAAAGGATCTTTGAAAAGGAATGTACAGTATTTCAGCCTCACTCTCTTACCAATGTAGCATTTAATTTTCTAAATAAGTACACATTTATTATACTTTCCTTCTTTGAAGGATTGATTTTTCATACTAAAGCAGCTTCTACCAATCTTTAAGAGTCAGGTTTAGACTAAATATTATTTGTGTGGCTGGGGTAGAAGAGCCCGAGTGGTTTCTAAGGCGGCTGAGACCTCTAGTGTCCAGTTCTTTCATTGCACGGCTGATTTTTCCCCCCATTCCAAACAATAACAAGAAATTGTCCGTGTTGCTAATAAAGTAGTGACTCTTGAATTGATTGGATAACTCATCTCTTTCAGTTTCTGCCTGTTCATGTTCCTACTGAGGAAGAAAAGAATGATCCCATTCTTTTTGCCAACAGAGTCCGGCAAATCATGGCAACGTATGTAATCAGTCATGGGTAAACTCTTTGAGAACTTTTCTTTTATATCCAGCAATTCCAGATATATCCTAGCCATAAAGTACAACTTGGTTAAGTCCCAGGTACCATATATAGGAATTGCTCTAGATTTTCACTGTGGTGTCAAATGCCTATACTAAAACCCCCTGATTGTTTTTACATGGAACAGAAGGTGGTTGTCTTACACTGGAACACAGTACATTCAATTCATGGAAAGCTGGAATAGATTGCTCCCTTATTTGCTTGGCAAGAATAAGTGGGTGGTTTGTTCTCCAAGGTTCCTGGGCTGCATTTACAAGACTGTAAATCTTAAAAACATCATGACGCTGCCATAATGTAGTTTCCCAGTATAATTTCACGGTTTCACAAAATGGTATGTGTTGCTTTCTCCTACTTGCAGCAGTGCAAGAATGAATTCCCATCTGGTTTATGGATCAGCATTAAAGCCAATCTGAGACACAGACAGGAAACAGTCAACTAAAAGTAATTTTAATATAAGAAACTGATTTTTCTTTTTCCTTAATTTTGTTGTAGTGCTTTAAATGTGCCAGTCACTGACCACACT